TACATATTTTTCATGTGATGTCTTTAAGAAATTTATTTAGGTGTCTGTGCATTTCTTGAGTTGTTTTGTTTAGGGAAAAATTGCATTACAAGACCCGACTTGTTTAAATTGTATCAATATAGGACATGTATTTTATTCTTTCTCAATGGAAAACTTACATAATAAGTTATTCTCAATTTAAGGTTCACTTTTTATTTAATTTCTCATTGTAAGACTCAACTAACTTTATTTTTTGACATATGTTTGTGGACCAATTAATTTTATTTTATGATAAAATTATGTGACAAAAATGTTACTATTATTTTTTTGTAATCTATTAATATATAATAAAGATTAACATAATTCACTTTTAAAAACTCTTTCGCGCCAAATTCATTAATTATTGCCTAAAAATGGTAAATTAACAAATGAACTATTAATTAACATATTTGTTTTTCCCGATTGTTTTTTAGGAATACAATAAAAAACTATTATATTGGTAGCCAATATGGAATCAAAATCCAAATAAATTTCCTATTTTTGTGGCTGCATATAAATCTCCTCTTTTCAATGTCCCATATCTTGCGTTAATTAAGGAGTCGGCAAAAAAAAAAAGATTCAGCTAAATCAATTCATTAACTAATAAATAATATAATAATACATTTGGGAGATTCATTAAAGTAGGACTCTCATGTAAATCAATTGATCAACTAATTCTTTTTTCGTTTCACGCAAGAAAAATCCTATACCATTCGATTTTTATTCCTTTTCCATAATTTTTTTTATTAAAATGCAACCCCAAAAATCATATTAATATAAATTAATATAGATTAATTCCTATATATATAGATAACATGTTTATTAACTTCTCCAATTCCTTCACATAAAAAAATAAAAAATAAAAAACAAAAAAAAAAGAACTTTCGCAATATAGAAAAAAAATGGCACCGTTATTTGATACACTCCATGCAGTTAATAGGTCCAACAAGCTACAATTTCGCACTCATATTGTATCTATAAGTTAAACATGTTGTGCATATATGTGTGTGTTGAACTTTTTTTTAGACGTGGTTTACATATAAAATAATTTAGACAAATTTAGGTACCTCACATTTTTTAAGAATAATATATAACATTTTAGATAATTTTACATATGTTATATAACAATTTATGTTTTTTTATTATTTTAAACATACATGTTTAATGTTCTTTTAATAAAGATAAAAAAACTATAAAAATATTAGTGAATATTATTTAGCTAATAAAAAATTTATAATCAATTATTCCAGTTTTTCCGAATCTATAATTTTATTTGATTTGTAAAATGTAAATTAACAAATATAATTATAGGTTAATCACTGAAATGATAACTATATATATATATATATATATATATATATATATATATATATATGTATATATATATTTATTATAACACTTAGATTAAGAAATTCAAACTATGATTTATTTTCCGTTTAGTTTTCATATCATTGTATGTTTTTTTTACTTCCATCTCTTTTGTAAAAACTTCGAAACGGTTTTGTATATTATTCATTTTGTATATATAATATTAAATCAAACTTTGTTTTACAAGCTTCAATTTCACACTCATATTGTATATATAAGTTAAACATGTTGTGTGTATATATATGTGTGTGTTGAACTTTTTTTAGACATGCTGTACATATAAAATAATTTAGAAAAATTTAGGTGAGATCACAATTTTTAAGAATAATATAAAATATTTTAAATAATATGACATATATTATATAACAATTTAGGTGTCTTAATATTTTAAACATACATATTTAATATTATTTTAAACAAGATAAAAAAAACTATAAAAGTATTAGTGAATAATATTTAGATAATCAAGTATAATCGATATAAAATGATAAACTAACAACTCATTTGTCGAACTACCATATAAGTTATCATATTGTAAATAGATCCATCTTAGGCTTCTATTTAAGTTCCAGCGGCACCAGTTCTTTATGATTTTTAAGGTTCCATTTAACAGTCAAGGCCAATCTTTTTGTATAAAAAAAGTATAAAAACATGAGTTAATTTTATTTAGCTAATGAAGTATAATTATATTAAAATGATAAATTAACAGCTAATTGTCTGGCTACCTTAGTAAATTATCATATTATAAATAGATCCATCTAAGGATTCCATTTAAGCTCCATCAACACCAATTCCTTCTAATATTACTATTCCATTTCAGAGTCAGTGTCATTCTTTATTTGCGTTGGCATGTTCTTAAAGAAATCGGTTCTTAATCACTACCAATTATATGTTGTTGTTTCACGTGTACGTAATAGATAAAGGTATTGGCATATTGTTAAAAAAAATCAGTTTTTGGTCACAACCAATTATCTGTTATTGTTACGCATGTAAGTAATAGAAAGAAGAGTCAAGGTCAACCTTTATTTTACGTTGGCATGTTCTTAAACAAATCGATTTTTAGTCACAGACAAATATGTTGTTTGTTTCGCGTGTAAGTAATAAAAATTGTTGCAAATATTAGTTTGTGGGACGACAAGTTGCTTAGTTATCAAACAAATATTGTTGTGTATAATGAAGTTTTTAATAATATTTTTTTTTTCTCACAAGGAACATTTTATTATTTGAAAATTTCCCAATGAATTATCACTCTTTTATTTATTAATACATTTTAAATTTAATCTTTTCTAAAAATAAATACAGCTCGTGCATCGCACGAGTTACATACTAGTTCATATATATAAGTGGCGGATAATCATTTGAAATTAAAATTAAAAAAAAAACAATCAATGTAATTAATGTACATTATGTACATTTGAAATATATCATTTTGATATATAATATACTGACAAAAATATTTCTATTTAAAATAAAAATAAAAAAATAATTATTTATAAGTTATGGGTCAATATTAACTTAGACGTAAATCTAATCAATTATTTATAAATTAATAAATTACTCAACGACTTATTTTTTTTTTATTTAGATAATTTATATAAAAATAAATTAATTTTAATTAATGAAATAATATCAATTTTATATTTATACTTACTATTCACATAAGTTTATAAATAATAATAAAAAAAAAATATTTGACCACTAGTCCGGGTAGACCGTTGAGCCAGCTTCCGGTTCGGTTTACAAAACCTTAGGTGCTCATAGCAACTCATCAGCAAAGTGATGCATTTCTTTCCCTCGTCCTTTCATTCCTTGTTGCGTATCGTTGGCGATTGAGGGACCACAAGCTGAGCTTGTGGTTCAAAGTCTTCAGCGGAACCTTGATTTCCGAATCTATCAAACAAACAAAAATCTGAGAAAAAATGTCCAAAAATCACCAATCCATCGCATTCGCATGTCGATTGTTGTAATGAACAGTCATGAAACCTCCGAGAAGAACAGTCGCCTCTCACCTCCTACCAACGTATTCAAGAAATCATGAAAAATCCCCTTTTCTAATCCCTCGCTTATCGCCACCTGAATCAGCTCAATCCCAAATCCCCTCAAGAACACACCTTTCATCGACCAAGATTCTTCTTGTCCATCCCTAATCCCAAGCGGCATCAAGTTTAACAGTACCCTTCTTCTCGATTCGGTAAACCAACCAAAACCCACCATCAAAATCACGGGCTCAAGCTTTATCACTTCCAACCTCAAAGTCTCACCTACCCACACTCTCTTCTCCGCCTCGCTCGCTCCTCCCTTATGCGCTCAGTTTCAAGCGAGGTGAGTGATTCATGGAGTCACCGTTTTTTTTTATGCTCGTAGACTGATTTTTCGTGTTCAAGGCGTTTGCTTTATGACACGATCTGGGCTTTCTTGATTTTTAGTTAAAAAAACTCATTTTTTTTTTATTATTTTTTTTTTCTCTGTAGTTCAAGTAATTTGTGATTTTTGAGATTTTCATGATGCTGGTGTTGATTGTAAGCTATTTATGGGTTAATTGTTTAAGAAAACATGGGAACAGACGCATGATAAGGATTACTCAGCAGTTGATGCTATCTATTATAGGTTTACTAGGCATTTTTGTTATCTTGCTTATTTTGGATACTTGATGTTTGTTGATTCCTTCTCTGATTCATGTTTTAACTGGCATTAGGTGATATAGTTGCATGGAGCGAGTATTTTTTTTCTTACAAAGGTATTGGTTATAGTGTGAGATATGCTCGTTAACTGCGGATAACGTGCTTATAGAATCAAGTAAAAAAATTAAGGCAATAGCCTGGTCAAGAAATCGGATGTATGAAGGGGGCTGGATTGATCGTATTTCGAGTGATTGTTTGAGTAGCCATTGATTCTTCATTGTAAATTTTATAAGTCAACTTGTGTTTCAAATGATTTATTAAGTCGTTTAATCTTCGACATAAGCTATCCAGTCTTCGCCTTCTAATATTGCTGTTCAAATTGTGTCCATGGGTAATCAAGTTGATTTAATACTAGTTTTTATGGATAGATGAGTTTCCTCATCTCTTTTTGTTTTTCCTTTCCAAGTTTTTATGAAAGAAAGTTTAGCTAGATTTCAATAGGTGTCTCACTATATCTGATGTTAACACATAATAATTATCATCCAAAGAATTGCACTGCCTATTAATTTTTTCGGCATCAATTTTATGGATTAGTTACCCACATGAACTATCTACTGTGTATAAATTTTATTTATTTATTTCTTCAGGCTTCAATCATTTAAGGAAATTCTGTCTTGAATGATTCTCCACTGAAGCCAAGCTCCAGCTGAAATTCAACAGAGTTTCCTGTGGTTCTAAACGATGGCCAAACCAAATGGGGGCATTTATTCATCACAAAAATTGCCTCACCACCCTAAGTTATCCACAAAAATACATCGAGCCAGCAATTATAAACAGAGCAATTTACATCATTCAGCATCAAAACTGAAGTTCTCTTCCAAGGGATTGTGGCCTTATGGTAGAAAATTGTATTCAGATACTCCCATTGGATCTCGAGGATCTCCTTTGGTATGTCAATCAACCGAAACACACAATACAGAAACAAGAAAACGGATGGGAGACTATGGTGATTGTTCAAATACCTCAAGGTATATGCTGCTTCCTAATAGAGATTCCCCTATGTTTGTGGTGAAATCGTCATTCTATTTGACAGTCATCTGATAATTTTTATTCTGATAAACTCATTAGAAATTTCAGATGAAGCACTTATACATACTCCATGTTTTTCAGCTGACTACTTGAGTATTCAGTTATATCATTGGTTATTCTCTGGGTTATACTAGTACATGGATTTCCTGTCGTTTTCATCTTGCTGCATCATATTTGGCAGTCTTGAATACCATCAGGATTTTCTTGTGTACCAGCTGAGCTTATATTTGATTTTGACAAGAGTTTTCTGTTTTGAATCAGCACACAAGGCGAGGATGAGAATTCCATGGAGACAGTGAAGAACATATCTTCTGGTCTAGGATTGGCTGAAGCATGCAAATATGTTACTAATGATGCAAAATTCGTGAATGAAAGGGCTAGAAGCGACATTGTACTTCTTTCACGGTAAAATGATTTTCACCTTAACTAACAGTAATTTGGTGCGATCTTGTAAACCCC